TATAAATTTTGAAATTAACTATTCTATCACTGAATAAATGACATATGTTGAAGACAATGTTGGGACATCATCTTGTCATACTGTTGAGATTGAAATAGAGGAAAGTTGTAGTGTCACAACCATTGTTCCAAATTACTCTCAAGTAAGTTCGAATCTATCTATGAAGGGAGATATAGGACATTCAAAAGCTCTTAGTGTAAGACACTCAATTGAAAAAGACATCACTGAAGCTACAAAGGGAATAACAAGCACACGTCTTGGCTCCAGGCTTGGAACAATGATGAGTTCTAGTATTCAAGAAAAGAAAACCTTGAGTTATGTGTTTAGAAGAAGGGATGATGCCTAGGTTAATAAGAAGTGAGTATATGTTTCTTGGTGTACTAATGAAACTAAAGGAGATTTCCCTCGCTTAGTATGGATAAAGTAGATGGTGAAAAATCATTCTGTAATGATAAATGTTATAACATTACATTGTGAGGATCTGAATGGCTGGGATAAGAACCCTGACATGGATCATTATCTAGTCAAGAACTTTGTTGAAGTAAAAAGTGTTACTTTAAACACTAATGAACATCTGATTGGTATGTTTACTAAAGCTTTATATACAGGATATGCTTAAAACATGGGATATGAGGAAGGAACTTGCACTATTGAGGAATTATAGCAATTACAGATGTGGAGGAACTCAAATCTTAGTGTATCTTTCCTCTACTCCTTGATACTTGGTAGGCTTGAGCTTGTGAAGACTGTTAAGGAGTGGAGTAAACAGTTGATGCAATATATAAGGGCCAGTTTGAAGAAGATGTACTTGAAGACTGATGTAAGGAAGTTTATGATCAACACTCCTAATACAAGTGATACTTCAAGGAGCGCAGAAGGATCTTCGATAGAGGCAAGAGTTGGAGGATCATCTAAAAGTGATTTTTTTCTGTTTCCATTTATGAGGTTGCTTTATGGTTGTATGTTTCCATCTGAACTTATGTTGTATGCATTTTTTTTGTGTGCTTCCATTATGTGTGATTCCATTTATGTTTACACTTACTTATTTCATTTTGTCAATTTTTGAATAAAAATGGGGAGTAAAGTGTTGGTTTTATTTACTGTCTCTGATGTTAGATCAAATGTCATGACTTTATGTCATGTGTGAACTACTGCTTAGGAAGAGTAGTTGTGTTTTTATTGCTGAATTTGTGCAACTATTTAAGAGGAGCATGATACTCCGTCATGCTAGCTTGCTGCTGTTGAGAAATGGTGGAATTCTTTGTTGTGTTTGGGAGAAGTTATTATTCTCTGTAGTAGGTTGTAATCTTCAGGGGGAGTGATCCTAAGGTGGCTGTTACTGCTCTTTATAGGAACTTGAATTGTTCAAGTTTTTTTTTTTGTGTTTTTGGTTTTCTCCTTTAGAGGGAGAACTGATTATGTGTGACAGGGGGAGTGTGTACCTGTTTGTTTTGTTGCGGAAAGGTTGCAATCTGTACAGAGCTTACATGTTCTCATGTAGCTTGTGTTATTTTGTGATGTCAGACCTAATGTCTTGACATTGCATTGCCTTGTGTTCTTTATTGGTTTGACAACATTGTAGATCTTGAGTTTCTGTGTTTTTGTGATTTTGTTTCCGTTGTGTACCTCTGGTATGCGCTAAGGTTAATTTAACCAAAATTTTCCAAAGAGGGAGATTGTAAGTTCTATGTGTTTTAGATTGGCTACATTTTGGTAAAACAACATGTTGTTAGTAAGATATTGAACTAGATATTCTTTCATGTCAATCAGACATCATACTCTACATGATTTTGGAACATGTTACATGACATGTTATACTAGATAGTTAGGGCATGAGTATTTTTGTAATTTTATTGTGACTTTTGAGTGTGTTATGATGCACACGTGGGCGACTATTATGGGAGTATATTGTGGGAATTTCTGTTATTGCATATTTTGTTACTTTTAATAAAAACAATCATTGAGCCTTTTTAGGAAATTTTATATATTTCTCCTATTACTGTGCAGGTCGATTTGCAGCCAGTGTATACTGATTGGTGCTATTTGTGCACCTCAAGAAGCCCAAGTCCAGTAGGTCTGAAGGCTATTTAAAGAGAAGAAAATTCGTATTTGAAGAAGAGAGCATATAGTGAGAATTTAGAGAATAAGGATTAGTCATCGTTTTGATTGGTCCCTATGGTTTTCGTTTGTTAATTGTATGTCACTCATGTATCTTCTGATGCATTGAGTTGGACTGATTGTTCATTTTTCACTCTAAGCTTTTAAGTAAATGATGTATTGTCCTTGGTTAAAGCTTTTAAGAAAAAACGAGTATTATTTTGTAAGTGTGATCTTCTATTGTTGTTTTGTTTACAATCACTGGGAACGTGATTGTTTGATATCACTGAGGTGACTAGAAAGTGAGAGGGGATTATCATATCTAGATGGTGATTTCCATGTAAAAGTTACACTGGATATGGATTAAGTGAGGAGTTGTAAACTGAGATTATTTAGCTTCGAATTAATACTACTAATAGTAGATTTCCTTCCTAACTTGTTAGGCCTCAGATGTAGGTGAGTTGCACTAAACTGGGTTAACAACTTTGGTGTTATTTATTTTTTGCAATTTATAGTTTTTGATTGTGCGTGTTCAAGCTGTGTTTTGATCCCAGTGTTGTGACATCTGTCTCAACATCTGGTATCTGCGCACCAGAATTTCACTTAAAAATAAAACTGCTGAAAACCAACCATCATATTGATAACTGCTTTGATACATGTTTTGAAGCCCTCAACTGCCTATATCGAGAGTCCTTGTTCGACTCCTATAGCGTTGTTAAGAAATCTCAACATTACAATGTCTTTAGACTTGAGAGTATCCTAAGTCCCTAACTTCTGGTGGATATGTTGATCTCGATTTTGACGAAGAGCTGACTTGCTTCAATGAGATTTTGGACATGTTTCAATGAGAGAGTGATCCTAATCATATGAATATGCTCTTGAGACTATTTCAAACTAGTCTTTGCCTCGACTATCTTGATAGGTTATTCAAACCATCATAGTCGACATAATTAATATGTCAAAACCTTTTATTGAAGCCCTTGACACTTGACAATTTCTAACGTGATTATTATCATTCTTTATTGACTTTGTTAGAATTTCCAAAGTAACACAACCTTAATGACAAACATAACAATTTTCTTAATAAATTAAATTTTTATAATCATAAGATTTGGTTAAATAATAGATAGAATTAAAAATAAAGCGGGTATCTATAGCCTTCAATTCGATTCTCTGGTTTGACAGTTCTTAAAATATTAAATAGATAATCGAATAAAATCACATTAGTTTTTATTGGTTCGATTTGGTTTTTAAATTAAACCAAAAGACATTAATTTTGTTTTAATTTGGTCTGATTTTAATTATTAATTTAATTGGTTTGAACTATGAACCTGTTGGGAAACAAGTGCGAGTTGTGTGGAAAAGTAACGGTGAGTTCTAAGTCCCACATTGTTTAGAAAAGTGGATGTTAAGCATTTTATAAGTAAGAGGACCCAAACACCTATCATCATAAGATTTTGGGTGAATATGTAATGTCTCTCCGGTTTTGAGTGAATATGTGATTTCTGTCTCATTTGTTTGAGTAGGTTTTTAATCTTTAAATGAGTGTTTGATCCAATATAAATATTTTTCTTTCCGGATGATCAATCAAATCCTTCATGAATAATTTTTAAATTAAACGAAGACAATTAGAGTTATGTTATTCCGTTCTTTGTTTTTAACAAATCAAATGCACCTTAATCTTACACTTTGAAACTGTTTCAATGTACCATGATGAGTAGCACGTAGAAAATCTTGATGGGTCTCACACAAATAGATAACGTTGCAGAGTTTTAGGATGAATTTTAATTATAAGCCTGATCACAGTGAACTGTCGAGCCTGATAATTTGAAAAAGCGTTTTACAAAATGGTTTTGCATATACTATTAAGGCTGAATTGAAATTGATGAATTTTGCACAACACATAAGAGCGAGCCTCCATAAGCCACAATTCCAAAATCAATTTCACCAACCAATGATAAATGGTCATGGGATCATAGTATGGCATATATACTAAAATGTAAAACAAAAATAATGACAAAAACAGAGGTTTGTTATATACAGATTGTGACTTTACAAACACAACATAAATATGCATTCACTTGGTATGTTATTTTCCAAAGTTAACTAGTGATTTTCTAAGCACGTTCTTATAGAATAATTGTATTATGGTATAATGATATCACACTTTTTCTTTTTCTTGACTAATAATGACTTTGTTGTCGGCATAATGCTCGCTTTAGAAACTTAACAAAATGACTTTCGGGATGTTGACACTCTAACTCAAAAAAAGTTGTTTCTGAAGCGCATTTCTGAAGCGGTTTCGGTTTCAATCCACAGTGATGAGTAGCACTTATAAAATCTTGTGAGTGTCACACAAAAAGATACCGTCGTAGAGTTTTGGGATGAGTAGCACTTATAAAATCTTGATGAGTCTCACACGAAATCTCTGAAGTGTGGAGCCTGATAATTTGAAAAACGTTTGGCAGATACTATTATGTCAGAATTGAAATTACATCCCGTTCATTCTTCATTGAAATTGATGAGTTTTGCACAACACATGAGAGCGAGCGTCCATAAGCCACTAAATTCCACAAAATCAATTCCACTAACCAAATGATGAATGGTCACGCAATTTCCAAAGTTAAATAATTGTTTTATGGTGTAGTGATAACACACTTTTTCTTTTTTGACTAACAATGAGAAAACACGGTAATAGACTTTATTGTCTGCATAATCGTCGCTTTATAAACTCAACTTTAAGAAAGTTGTGAGTAGAAAAACCAGTAGTGCCTGAAACCAATTATTTGTGTAATACAAACAGAAACACTTACAATGAGAAAACACGGTAATAGACTTTATTGTCTGCATAATCGTCGCTTTATAAACAGAAACTAACAAACAGAAACAGAAAAGCTTGAAATATGTCTTTCATATGGATCCTAACTTTGTTCCTTACAATCATCACTCTCACAATTGCAAGTAATCCCAATGAACATATGATGACTGGTCCGAACCAACAAGGACCTATACATAGAAAGCTCAGCCTGGGACTCGGTTTCTTCTCCCCTGCTGTTGGCATTCTAGGAGAACGACACTCAAATCCTCCAACTTTAAGAAGGCCAGTTATACGACTTGGAGTTCCTGGAATTCATGTCCCAGCTGAAGACCACATAGGTAGTGGTAGAATCCCAAACTTTACAATTCGACCACCTCATGGATTGTAACAATGTATAATCTCATGCTGTTTACGTAGCACCAACTTATGCTTTTACTTTATCAGGCTCTGGGCTTAAGAATGAATAACTTGTATCAAATTATTTCATTGGGATATATTATCATGTAATGATACAATTTTCATTTTATTGTCCTTAAATAAAATGGTAATAACTTTCAGAAACTCGAACAGGTTAACAATATTAATAGATTATGTGGTTGTTGGATGCTGAGATTCAATTATATATTTTATATAAATTTTATTCTCGTTTATATTTTTAATTTTACTCACTATTCACTAATAACAAACTAAGGTTTATTTGGTTATGTGGTTGGATGGTAATTTTTTTAAAGAGGATGGCTACTATTTGCAACATTTTACATTTCTTCTCTGTTCGTTCATATAGTTTTTTTTTATGTTGTTATGATTAATTGAGAGGGTATTTTTTTAGAGGGTGGCTATTATTTGTAACATCTTTGGTATTGGAGCTTGATTGTCGATATTGTAATATTCCAGTATTATGTGTTAGAGTATAGTACCTTAAAATTAAATTAAAATACTGCATATGTATTTTGGTGACGGTTTACATTGGTTTAGAATTGTATTACTAATATTATATATTTATTTCATGTTAGTATTCATTTTGGTTTACCGCAAACGTCGTAGAAAAAGAAACGTGTATGTGGTATGCAATGGTACTATTAAAGAATGTGATGCAATGCAGTAACATGAATAATTGAATACTATGACATTGCATCATATTCATATATGTTGAAAGTCTGAAAAATATTTGGTATGTATGTATTGGTGATTAAATCCTAATACATCACATCTAATTTCTGACTCTATTTAATATTATTAAAAAAATAATTATTTACTTTTAACATATCCAACATCACACTCTGGGGTGTTAGCTCGCAGGCGAAACTCAAGTCTTTGAACTGTTCAACAAATTCCAACTCTGTAACCATCAAAACAAATATATGCAAAGACTTTCGACTTAGAGCATCTGCGACGACATTAGTCTTACATGAGTGATAATTCAAGGCAAAATCATAATTCTTTAGAAATTCTAACCATCTTCAGTGCCTCATATTTAATTTCTTCTGATCGAACATGTATTTTAAACTCTCGTGACCACTAAATACCTCAAATTTGGAACCATAGAGATAATGCAGCCAAATCTTTAACACAAACACCACTCAACCAACTCTAAATCATGAGTAGGATAGTTTCTCTCATGAACCCTCAGTTGTCGTGAAGCATAAGCCACTGCATTGTTGTCTTGCATTAGCACACCGCCTAAACTCATCATAGACGCATCACAATACACTACAAACGATTCATCATAGACGCATTTCAACAACCCAGGCTTGTGCCACCATCACAATCTCTTCTTTAGCTCTATGAAACTTTCTTCACAATGGATGTCCCACAAAAACGCTTTACCATTACAAGTCGGTTAATGGAAGTGCTAACTTAGAAAAACCTTCAATAAACTTGCGGTAGTAACCAATCAAGCCCAAAAAGCTTTTAATCTCAGTAATTGACTTAGGAGCCTTCCATTGTAGTACTGCATCTACTTTGGACGGATCCAGAGCGATACCATCACCTGAAATAACATGCCCATGAAAACTAACCTCTTGTAACCAGAACTCACACTTTGACAACTTTGCATATAACTTATTCTCTTTCAACACTTGCAACACAATTTGCAAATGCTCAACATGTTCTTCATTCGACTTGGATTAGATCAAAATATCATACATGAAAACCACCACGAACCGATCCAGATAAGTATGAAATATATGATTCATATATTCCATAAATATTCCATGTGAATCGGAAACGCCAAACAATATCCCCAAATATTCATAGTGCTCATACCGCATTTTAAAAGCCGTCTTCTGAATATCCTCATCCTTCACTCGAATCTGATGGTAACCCGACCTCAAGTCAATTTTGTTGAAAACACGCACACCTACCAGTTGGTCCATCAAGTCATCTATTCTCGGAAGTGGATACTTGTTTTTAATCGTTACTTTATTTAGTTGTCGGTAATCCGCACAAACTCATACTACCATCTTTCTTCTTTATTAACAACATCGGAGCTCCCCAAGGCGACACACTTGGTCTTACAAATTTCTTTTCCAACATATTCTCTAATTGCTTTTTCAATTTTGTTAATTCTGACGCTAACATCATGTATGGTGCCATAGAAACAGTTTTGGCACCAGGGACAAGATCAATAGAGAACTCCATCTCTTTCTCTGGCGACACATCCGAAATATTATCCAGAAACACATCTTGAAAGTCATGCATTATCGACAATTTTTCAATTGCAGCTTGACTTTTAATAGATAAAGATGCGAAAAACACAAGAACCTGAGCTTCGTCTTGCAAAAGCTCTTCCTCAATAAGAGCAAGTCAACCGTACTGATTTGTTACAATAATTTATATGAAAATGATTGAACTACAACCAGTTCATTCCAAAGATTACATCAAGACCCCTCAGCGGCAAGCAAATAAGATCAACACGAAAATCTCTATCAAAAATTGACAGAGGAAAGTTCAAACAAACTAAAGAAGTAGTCACCGATCCCTTAGTAAGAGTGTTGATAACAATATCTTTATTCATGGTGGACACTATAAGGCCCAACCTTTTCACACAATCAGTAGCAATAAATGAGTGAGTAACACCAGTATCAATAATAGCAATCAAAGAAGTACTATTAATGTAACATATACCTCTAATCAACTTGCCACCACTATTAATGTGTATTGATGTGTTATGGTTCACCACAGTTGTAGCATGTCACCATATTATTGTTGCAATTAGCAACCTGATGTCTTGTCTTCCCACACTAGAAAGCCTTTTTCACATCACCCTTGCGCTCATTGGTGCAACGACCCAGCTCACCACACCTAAAACATTTAACAGAAGCAGGAACACCCCCACTTGGCCTTTTATCATCAGCAACCTTTTGTTTACCTTTCTCAGCTGAACTATAAGGTTTCCCACGGTTCAGATGTTGTTTCCCTATCTTCTCGCTTAGACTCTTATAGTGAGCTGACTGAGCCTTATTATCATCCTCGTAGATCCTACAGCTATTCACCAACTCTGGAAACCTCTGGATTTGTTGATACCCAATCACATGCTTAATCTCAGACGCAAAACATTCTTAAACTTAACACATTTTAAGAACTCAACAATTGCCTCACTCTAATGAGGATAGAGCTTTGCAAGTTCCACAAACCTGACAGCATACTCGATAACAGATGAACTCCCTTACTTCAGCTCTAGGAATTACATCACCTTCTTCTCGCGAACGTCTTCAAGAAAATACTTCCTCAGAAACTCTCTATTGAACATCACCCAAGTGACATCTTCACCTGCAGTTTCTAGCACCCAGCGGGTGTTGACCCTCCAATCATCATCCTCCTCAGCCAGCATATGTGTTCCACACCGTACCTTTGGTGCTTCTGAACAGCCTATCACAGGGAAGATTTTCTCAATATTTTTAAGTCAAGCATGCACTTTATCAGGATCATACCTACCCTTAAAATTAGGTGGATTGTTCCTCTGAAACTTTCCCAGATGACGAAACTCATCGTTCCCCCCAACATTAGGTTGATTCTGCACAACCTGAGCCATAACCTATAAAGCAGCAACAATTGCAACATCATTTCTTCTAGCCATTTTATGTTTCACAATAATAACAGCAACAATGCTTAGAAGACTACCACGACAATATTCAACTGTCACACTCCACCGACTCGACAACTTGGTCGGACAAACTGACCTGCTCTGATACCACTATGTAACACCCTAATTTTCCTCGCATAATTTATAAATAAAACCAGAGTAATTTAAAACAATCAATCAATTAGGATGTTACATTCAACTTCTACCAGCTCATGCATTAGGATATGTAACACATATGTAATTTAAAACAAAAAATAAGAATCAACGTGCAGTCTGAATTTCAACATTTTATTAGCAGAGGAAACATTTAACAACTGATTAGTTTAACTATTCAAAATAAAATCATAACTTAATGTAATTAAAATTAGTTATCAAACATAAAAGATTCACTTAATAATCTCCACCAAATATGAATTAAAGAAACCAAGCATTCTCCCCCCAGTGTTACAAATTAGAGCAAACGCTGATTCAACAAAAGCAATAAGAAGAGTAATCGCTTCCACTCACATCCATGCTCCTACTACGAATTATCTACACGATACCCATGTAAAGGAAAAATTTAAATATAAGGGGTGAGAAATCATAATCATACAATGAAACTGCATAATAATATGTAAGCATATGATTATCACATACATAATCACCACATCAATAATTCACACTTTACACAATCTAATAATAATAATAATATAACCTGTATGTAATGCAATGAGACTCCACCCCATGACTCAATGCATGTGGTACCAATTGTGAACTCTCAAGTTCACTCGCTCCAGATCCCCACCATGGATCAGAGGACACCAAAAATCATTATCATCTCCATATATAACTCTTCACCGATTTCCAACTGAAACCATCTACTCACACACAATCCCCATCATAGGATTGAGGCTCACCAAAATCGGACCACCGTCCAAACACCATGATGCATGATTCATAAATGACATGCAAAAATAACAACATGTACAATGATATTCACCTTAACTAATGTACCACACCAAAATTGATCGCCAAACACCAAACATTTACTACAAGCATTTAACATTAGCATTATAGTAACATAACAGGTAACAACATACCATCCACACACATTACCACACCACAACATATACACCACATATCATACAACACCATCACGCAAATTATTTCTAAGTGCTGAAACTATTTTTAAATTAAAGTACACTGCGTCAGCTTTCCAACACTTCGAATGACACCTCAAACGGACACTCAAAACTCAAGTTATGAATTATTTAAGTTTGACATAGTAGACGTAACCGGTTACACAAAATAGGTAATCAGTTACA